TCTCTGCGGGCCAGACCCATGCAGGGGCTACTGAGTGCTCAGTGGTGGGCACTCGGGTTTTAAGAGGGCTTACGGTGTCTCCTAGGTGCTTGTGTCATGCCAGGTGCTAGGCCAGGGTTGGGGAAGTGGTGACAAAGGGGGCTCACTGTTGAGGAGGGGAGGCAGCTGTGTGACAGGTTAGACATGTGGGCTGCCCCTCAGACGGCTTCCAGTGGAAGGGACTCTCAGAATGTACTTCTGCCTGTGTGAGGATTCTGTGGCTTTTGCCCAGTCATTTAATTTTAGAGGGTCATTTTGATGCACAGGAGGTTCATACCAATCTCGGATGGCTGGTTCCTCTTGGGAGAGATGAGAGGACATGAGGAAAGAGAATGCTCATTTATTTCACTCTGAGTAAGCTAAAGTCAGTCTGGCCCTCCATCCCCTGCCAGCAGCCCTGAGTAGAAGCCTGAGAAAAGATGTCCTCAGCTGTGCTTGGAAGAGAGCCCCACTGTCCCCAGGGGAGCACCTCTTCACAGAGGCCACTCCTGTCCTCTGGGCTGTGATGACCCTGGGGCCACCACTCAGACACAAGAGCCCAGCCCACAGCAGATTCTGGCAAGTGCTTGTTGGAGCTCCCAGTGGGGGTTTGTGGAAGAAGCAACCCGGTGGGCTGGGTTGTACTTTCTCTGTTTGATCATTGGGCTCAGAGACCTCTTGGGCCCCCTGGGTCTCCGTGTCTCTGCCTGATGGCCACTCTGCTTTTCCTTCTGACTCAGAGGCATGTCGTGTGACAGTCTTGTTTGCTTGTTGGCAGGCTGGATACACGAGAGCCCAACATTTCACAGCTTTTCCAGGATGAGAGATGAAAGTACCTGGCTGAGCTTTTGCCACTGTGGCTATTGTGGCCCAGCAGTTGGAGCTCAAGCATGCAGGGGCCTCAGTGAGTCTAGCAGGAAGATGAGCAGAGTGGATGGGCTGCTGGGGGAAGAAGGGAAGAGTCACGTTACAGTCTAGCCACTATGGGGTCCTTGTTTTGGCCAGTTTTGGATTGTATTTTGTATTTTATTCATGCCATTGATGCTTTGCTATTTGAAAAACTGGACAGCATGATTCCTTTGAGTCTGGAAGTTGGCAAGGGAGAGGTGGTATGTGATGAAATGACTGGGTGTGGGTCCTTGCAAGCTCAAGGGCTGTGTGAGGCAGTTTCAGCAGGAAGAGTTGGGGGGGAGCCACATGCATCCGGTACTCGCAGATAAGTGTCATCTCATAAAAGACTGAATGATCTTTCAGGGGAGGGCTTGATTGAGCTTGTAAAGCATCCCTGCCTGTGGGTCTGTTCAGGAGTCAGATGGGGATGAGGCTCCCACCAGGAGGACCCTTCTGGTGGTTGGGGTACCAGGAACTACACTGCTGAACCCCAGCCAGGAACTGCTGCCCAGTCACACTCGGGAGTCCCTGTGGAGGCAGCCAGCGGCAGGCCTGGGCTGTAGGAAGAGAACTCAATAACATGTCTCCCTGGAGCTGGGGCCTGATATACCAAGAGTGATGGAGCCAGGTGTGGTGGTGCACGCTTGTAATCCCTGTATTTTGGAGGGTGAGGCAGGGACATCACCATGGGTTCACGGCCACCCTGGCCTGTACAGTGAATTCAAGGCCAGTCTAAACTACATAGCAAGACCCTGTCTCTAAAAAAATGAAACACAACAACATATGGATGATGAATGAAAGGAACAGCCTAATGTAAAGATAGAACAAGCTGGAAGAACACCTACTGAGTCTGATCAGACTCCTAAGCTCCTCTGACCAGGAAATTTTACAGCACACTTCCAAGGGGCACTTCGGTGGAAACCAAATATTTGGAAGAGAATGACAGTGTAAACACTGAGTGCTGGAAACCTCTGGGCCCTGTCTGAGATAGTCACCAGAGGCACATTTGTGGCCTTAAATGGATTTATTTAAAATGAAAACAGTATAGGAGCTATGGAAAGAAAGCTCAGAGAAAAAGAAGAGCTTTCTGGCTCAGCTTCAGAGGAGCACTGAGGAGGCCAGTGGGCTGGAGTGTTGGTGAGGGGAGAAGGGGAGGCCCTGTCAGGACGGCCAAGCCCCAAAGCGTGTCAGCACGGAGGGTCCAATCTCTGCAGTCAGGTGGTGCTTACCAACAGGGCCAGGGCTAGGGTCTGAGGAATGTGTCACTGGGAAAACATCATAACCTGGGCAGGTATTTACATAAACCAAGAAGGCCTCATTACTAGTGATAGGCTCTCATGGAACCCCTGCTCTGCGTGCTGTCCTTTGATGCCCCAGGCAGCTGGAGAGCACCATGTGCTGATGAGCAGGAGCCTCCCTGGAAGGCTGTTCTTTCCAAGAATGCAGAGGGACCTAGTGGAGGAGCCTCGAGGTCCTCCTGATAAGGAGGTCCTGCCTGGGAGGCCTGCAGGCCTCAGGTGACATGCTGATCACTTGAGTTTCCTGGGGCTGGGTCCGAATACCCACTTTGGTCCTTGACTCCCTGGTGAGCTTCTGGCTGCTGGGCCGCCTGGCTGCTGGCACATTCTCCAGTGAGGCTCCTGCTGTTGTGTGCGCCTCTGACATCTTGTTCCCAGCTTGGCATCTGGTGGTTGAGTAATAACAGGGAAGTAGAATGACTTGCAAGTATTTCCTTGGTTCCTCAGTTGCTGTGCCTTCCTAGAGACTTGCCATTACTCAGTGACCTTTGGCAAGGGGGAGGGCCTCCCTGTTTTGAAATTTCCTTCTCTTTTGTTTCTCGTTTTTCCTTAAAATCATTTTATTGTTTTGCTTTTAATATTGTAGCAATGGTATATACTTATGTAAAAATTTGAAGTGTGAAAAATGGCAAATATTTTCAAGAATCAAGTAAAGGTTACCTGAAATCGAATGACCTTCCTGTTAACCCCTGGCTAACCATCTGCCTGGAGGGTATCTGGGTCGCTCATCCCTGGCCCCACCCTATACTCAGGCTGTGCACGTGGAACTGTGTTATGCAAATGGCACCCTGTGGCCTCTAATGTCTTGCACCTGGTATTTCACGCTATCTGTTCCTGGGCATTGTTCCCCATTAGTAAAAGTGGATCCACTTTATCCAGATTCCTGGGGCTGCTGGAGGCTGGGCATGCCCAGGCTGGAGGCTCCACTCGGGTGGAGAATGCAGGTGACAAGCAAGCACGAGCTTGGAGGCTTTGTCTTTGTGTCCCCTCAGGCCTCATTCCCTCCACTTGGAAGAGTAAATACACAAACTGTCCTCAGAGGATTAAGTGGATTAGTACAGGTGAAGTGCTCTGAGCCACTGTTAGCTGCTGTTGAACACTTTCTTGTTACACCATTATGAGTAATTCTGAGAGGAAGAACTGTAGGTGGATTCTGGAAGCCTCAGCAGGCATGTACCCTCCTGCCCCATGTGCCTGAGCCAGGTGGCTCCTCTCCACCTGCCTGTCCCTCCTGGCGGAGCAGAAACTGCCTTAGTCCATGGCTTTGGGGTCCCTTTCTGGCCCAAACCATACACCGTCCTTTTCTGCACTGAGTAGAAGGTGCTTCCCAGCGTTATTCTTGTCGCCCGCCGAGGCTTTGCCGCTGGACGCTCCTCTCATGTACGGGGTGCTCTTGCCATTCCTCACACTGTCTTGAAGGAACTGAGATGGCCTTTGTGATAGTTGCCATGCTGTCCTCATCTAAGAACCTTGTTTATCCAATTTTGCTTGGTGAATGCCAGCTACTAGCCATAATAAAAATTCAACCAGAGGAAGAGATAGCTGTGGCTGTGGTCATGTGGTCAGAGGATTCTTTGTGAATCTTTCTGGAATGAATTCAGGTATACAAAGCAGAAACATGTTCCTCCATTAGGAGACTGTGCCCTCTTCCCAGCTAAGACATACATGTTCATTGGCCCTCTGTAGGCTTCGTGGTACATACACCTGAAAGCCAGAGGGGACTGTTTCCTGCAGGGCCCAAACTCTGAGCAAGTGGCGTGCATGTTGTAGGGGTGTGTCACATTGGTCCACTGCCCAGGCACTTGCACTAATGCCCATCCCAGCTTCCTTCCTGCCATTTGTTCTTGTCACCAGAGCCATTGGCTCCTCCTTGGGGCTCCCACTTTTCTGGTTAGCAGCAAAGCTTCTTTTGGGAAAGAGCATAGCTTGGGTCAGGGGGATGAGTTCTGGTCCAGTTCAGTGCATCTCCCTGTCCTCCAGCTTCTTGCTGTGGAAGTGAGGACAGTAACAAAGCCAGACTGTCAGCATGAACTGTCATGTTCACTCGCCTCTGCCCACCTGTGATCCCACAGTCTGGAGGTGTCCACAGTGGCACCTGCACTCAGCCACATGCAAGCAGGCTGTCTTAGTTACTCTTCTCTCGTTGGTGGGACAAATACCCCACGCTCAAACTTAGGGAAGGAAAGGTTTGTTTAGCTCACAGGTACTGGAAGTTTCACAGTTTAAAGCAGCCCCAATTACTTAGCAAGACCTTGAAGCTTTATTTGCTCAGGAGAGAGGGTCAGTGCCTCTGTCTTCTCCAAACATCTCCTTGCCTGAGGCGGCCTCAATCACAGACACCACCGGCCCACGCTACAGGGTCTGGAGGAGAGGCTGGGGCGCTACCGTGTCCAGGATGACCCTCTCCACACCTCCAAGGGAGGCTGCTAGCCTGGGGCTGGGAGAGAAGTGCGTGCTTCCATTTTATAGGTGTGTGCCTCTCTGGCCCCGCCCCTCAAGCCCCGCCCCACCCCTGACCACGCCCCCTCAAGCCCCTAGCCCACTCGCTACTCCTCAAGCCGGCGTCTATCCCATGACTTCCATGAGGCTTTGAGGGGACAACTAGACACAAACCATGGCACAGGCTCTTGGGCCCAAGGCTGGAGAGAACTGAGTGGGTGCTCAGTCCTTTGTCCAATGGCTGTCATCATATAGGAACTGCTAGTCTTCCTCTGTGTTTTGACTCTAGATGACTTGGTGGTTTATTTACTTATTTATTTTTAAGTTAATTAGTGTGTTTGTTTGTTCTGTTAGGGACCTGCCATGGCTGTTGCCTTTTCAAGAACTGGGGAGTATTTTGCTTCTGGAGGCTCTGATGAACAGGTGGGTAAACAGTGGCCTGAGGCATATCATATGTGTTAATCTTGCTCCAAGGGGAGGCTAGGGGGAAGCTGGAGGCCTTCTGTGAGATGGGCCCTGGTGACTTTCAGTGACCATGCAGACCCTGCTGGCCCTTGTGGTTGGGGTGCTCAGAGCCAAAGTTTTGGGTGCCTCAGAGCTGATCATTTGCCCCTCTAGCCGTACGCCAGTGTCTCAAAGCCCTCAGGACTCCAGCTAGCCTAGGCTGGCAGGAGTCTGGGTCATAGTGCCATGAAAAGGTTGAAGAATTTTTGGGTTTCTTCCTGCTTATAGGAGGTATTACCAAAAAAATATGGTGAATGTTGCAATTTTTAAAAACTTTTTTGCAGTAAAAGACATAGGGCCAGTAACCACCTCATGTCAAAAACACTTACCCCATTACTCTTGCCACTTTCTGAAGGAGTTCTGGAAGCCCTTTCTGAGGTCTTCAGTTGCACTGTTGAGGCTGCCTTAGTGCTTGAGTCAATTAAAAATATCTACCTTTCATGGTCATTTTGACTTTGGAGAAGAGCCAGAGGCCTTATGGTGCCAGATCTGGAAAATAAGGTGGATGTGGACACTGCATGATATTTTTACAAGCCTGTCTTTTCTTTGGATGATGCTGGGCAAGAGTAGTCATCATATTTTTAATAATTGTAAATACACTCATGAAAGAGAATTTTTAAGTGAGCAGGGAGTTTTTGGAGGGGAATTAATGGCAGTTTGCCTTATGTATTTTGGAGACAGGGTCTTACTATGTAGTTCCAGCTGGCCTTGAACTCACTGTGCAGACGGTGCTGGTCCTGAACTTGCAGTGATCCTCCTGTTTCATCCTCCTGAGTTGGGATTATAGCTGTGCACCACCAAACCCAGCTGGCCATGTTCTATTTGCTTTAAATATTTAATTTTTAGTGATTTAATTTAAACATTCATAATATATTTGGATCACCTTGGTAAAGTAACAAGTAAGAGTCACTGGCTACCTGCGGCAGGTCTGGCAATGTGGTTAACGTGACAAACGCATCGTACTTCATTTAGTTCTCACTATCACCGCATGGAAGAAGCCCTCTCATCTCATTCTGTAGATGAGAAACCGAGTCCCAGTAGATAGCAGCTGGGGTAGCACTGGACCTGCCTTTGGAGCCGTACCCCTGCTTTGGGAGCCTCTGCCCTATGGTCTGCTGCCCTTTGCTTCCAGCCCAGCCCTGTGCTCTTTGTGGGTTGTTGGAAAGGGCAGCATTTTCATTATTATCCTTGGCTGCAGAGAAAGGACCTTGTGAGGAAGTCCTGTTCTACTTCATCACCTTCTGTGCTAAAGCTTCAACTTATCAACTGAGGCACCCGATGCCCAGGCTGCTAAATGCCAATAACGTGTCTGTTGGTGGGCACCCTAGGATGCAGCCCAGAGCCTAGCACTGGTAAGGCCAGGAGCACTGACGAGTTTGCCCACCTGTGGGCTCTCCCCAAAGCATTTATGCAGGGCATCTTGTGCGGAGAACTACATTCTCCTGGGACAGGGAGAAAAGCATGGCTGTTAAAAGCCATGTTGAGCTGCTGGGCTGCTGAGAACCTTCATGCCCTGAGAGCCAGCCCCATGGCTCAGACACTGTAGCCCAGATAGTTCCACTGGCCCTTCATGAACCCTGGCGCCAGCTGAATGCACCGATTTGGTTTGAAGATCTGCCACCAAGGCAGAGGATAGCTGGGAGCTCTTTGGTCACAGCCTAGATATGGGATAGCACATGTCTTCCCAGCCCAGTCCTTATGCTAGCCACCTAAAGGAGGCAGAAGGCAGAGGGGTGCCCAGGCCTTCCCTGAAGTGGAGGCCGGACTTATGGCTTATAAGACACACGGCCTGGTACAGTAGACACAAACAGTAAAGAGAGTTGTGATAAAATAAATTCACAGCCACATGCCTGGTAGAAAGTAGGGTTTGCACCTGCTTTAACCGTTTCTCAGGCAGCCAGACCTTGAGCTCTTTGGCTGCCTTGATTGATCGATTGATTGGTATTGGGGGTAGAATCCAAGGGTGTTCTACTTCAAGCTACATCTCCAGCCTTTTTCTTTCTTTCTTTCTTTTTTTTTTTTTAAGTGTAGTACTAGGAATTGAGCCCAAGATCTTCATACTGAGCTATAGCCCCCACGCAGTGTGTGTGTGTGTGTGTGTGTGTGTGTGTGTGTAAGTTTCCCAAACTGAACAAGAACTTCTGATCCTCCTGCCTCAGACTCCCAGAGTGCTGGGATTGCAGGTGTGTTCCACCATACTAGGTTTACCCAGCCCTTTAAGAAAGCTTTTATGTGCTAGGCCTATAGTCACTGCACCTGGCTCCCCTTGCTGCCTTTAAAAGGCTGCCTGAGAGCTCTTTGGAATAACATTTGGTACTCTCTCTTCATATTGACGCTTGCCATTCTATTTCTAGGAGTGTATTTACCAGTTAGGTCTGCACAGTCATATATATGAGGGTGCTGTATACAAGGTGTGTGTCTGCAAATGTTTTGTCTATAAAGTGATGAAGAGGGACATCTCTCCGGGCACAATAAACAGTGATGCTGCTCAGGGACTGCTGAGGGGCCTCGTGTAGAACCAGGCTCACAGCTGGTATAAGAGACACAGACCTTCCTGAGAAAGTTGATGCTTAGGGCATGTGGAGCCTTCACCTTGGATAGCGCATGGATGTGTTAGTCTACTGTGCCCTCCACTGGCCATACTCCACAAGTCCTGTTGGGAAGCCCAACTTTGAAAGTAGCCCTAAGAAGCACCAGCTGCTCATGGCTGACAGCATCCAGCAGGGAGTGCTCTTGTCACCAACAGGGAGGCTCCTTCCAGTTGTGTGTAGTAGCAGCATGACAGAATCCTTTTTTTTTTTTTTTTTTTTTGCGGAACTGGGGATTGAACTCAGGCCTTTGCACTTGTCAGGCAAGCACTTATTCTACTGAGCCATCTCCCCAGCCCCATGGACAGAATCTTTTATAGAGGAAGATGCTCAGGGTAGGGTGACTTTTATGGCTAAGCTTGGCCTTGGGATTCCCAGAGCATTAACACACACTCCCTGAGTGCCAGTGTGCCAAGCTGTGTTGTATGAGGCCCCAGAGCGCTGTGAGGTGAGAACTAGATCATTCCCATTTCCTGGAAGAGAGACTCAAGGTACAGGCTGAGTCCCCTGCCTAGGGCTGACAGTGATGGGGAGAATAAGGACCTTAACATCCCTGGTCTGGCCTGGAGTTCCTGTCTTTGCCCCTTCCCACAGCGGACCAGGCCACCTCCCTCAAGAGCGCCCATTTTAGTGGGGAGATAGATAATAAACAAGGAACAGGAACAAAAAGATTAAATAACTGCTGATTGCGATGCTGAGACTGATCATATGATACCCCAGGCAGAGGGACCAGCAAGTGCCAAAGCCTGGAGGTGTAGTACAGTGACAGTCTGTCCTGGTGGCTCAGCCTGCTCCTCCAAGATGTGGGACAGGTCCCACAGTTGAATTGGGAAGTCAGGGGTGGGGTCCACGTGGCTCTGAAGTGTGGGAATGTCCTCTGGGCCCATTTTCTTAGTGGAAGAAGCTGGGACACTCTTTCTCCACCCCTCATTCTCTGTGCCTCTTGGTCTTGGCAGGTGATGGTTTGGAAGAGTAACTTTGATGTTGATTATGGAGAAGTAATAAAAATGCCAAGGCCCCCAGCCACACTGGGCATGTCTACAGCGATTCTGGTAAGTGACTTGGCAGCTGTGTCCTGGGCCTTGTGACTTTGGGCAGGGTCATGGTAAACAGTGTTGTGCTTAGAAATGATAGGGTCTGGTGGTTTGGGTTGATCTTGAGAAAGGGACTTCCGTAAGATCTTGTCACCTACCAAATAATATCTGGCACTGAGAGTGTTAGATTTTGATATGGAGTGAACAAATGAGATGGAAAGGGCTGGGGAAGCAGCTGTCAGGCCCCCAGCCTCCTTGGGGAATGTTTCCATGATGCCGGTGCTGCTGGATTGAGGCCCAGAGAGACAAAGGAGCTGGCCCATGCCAAGCACTGCGCTGCAGGACACAAGTGTGGAGTTCCTAGAGGACTCAGGGCCCATAGCCACAGCTGGAGCAAATGGGAAAGGCCCCAGTCTTGTTGTTTTTACTTCCTTTTTTAACCACAAAGAGGAAGTTCCTCGCCCACGAACCATTTTTAGTTCCTTTGTTGGTAAAAGGGCAGTTCATGTTCCAGAATTAAAACAGCTAATATTTTTTGACAGATATTTTGGTGAAAAATTGATATGGTCTCATTAATTTAGGTCATATTTATCTTTGGCTGAAATAAATTTTAAAGTCAAAGTTGTAGAACTCCAAGGATTTTAAGCTCCTATGGCCACAAGCTGTTTAAATCTCTTCCTCCCTGGACCTTTGAGGCATCACAGCCTTCCCCACAGGCGGAAAGGCTGGCTCAAACAACAGGAAGTGGCTCGCCCAAGCCCCCAACAAGTCAAGGCTGGGACCCAGAATAGAACCAAGAAGCCTCCTGTCGCTCCAGCAGATGGGCACCTCCCCGCTGCACACACACACAGTGTTCTCTGTGCAGGGACTGCCTCTAGGAAAACACAGGCCAGTTTGGGTTTTCTGGTTGTCTTCCAAAGATTGCCCTCCTGGCTGGCCAGTGAGGGGTTTATTCTCCCTCAGTACTGCTAACCTATGGCCAGCCCTCAGGTTTTGGGATGTTGGAGGTTGACTGGGTTGCATGATGGTCTTCTTGCTGCCAGTATATCTTCCACCTAGAAGGGCATTTCCAACTGCAAGTTTGAGGTCCCTGCCCCCTCTGCTATGACTCCCTCATAATTGGGCCCTGAAGGTAAGCCAGGAACAGCCAAGGCCTTTTGCCTATGCTGCTTTGTTCATTCTTTATCTTAACAGAGTGAGTGGGTAGTTACCCCTCTAGTTTGCAGATGTGACATTTTGGGCCAGCCAATCTGAAACTTCAGGTGGCAGGGTTGCCTGGCAGCTCTTTTCCCTCTTAGGATGGTACTGCCGCTTGCCTCCTGAGAAAGGTTAGTATCCACCACCTGGGGGAGAATTCCATATTCTTTTTCTTAGGATTATTCAGAAAATAACCTGGATGAGCTGCTCTTTGTTCCTTTAGTCTTAGCTCAGATGAGCTACCTTTGCTTCTTAGAACTGAAGGCCATGAAGTCATGTGGGGTGGAGGAAGCCAGTGTGACAGGACCGGGCATGGGGAAGTACAACCAGTTGTTCCCAAGTGACTTGTGGCCCACATCTGCACTGTAGGCACAACTCTGCCCACTGAGCATCCCTCCCTCAGTGGAGCTCAGCTAGGAGACAGAAAGTGGGCTCCGGAGTCAAACTGGGTCTGCCCCTGGCTGTGTGGCCTTCATTTCCTCAAAGGATCCTTAGTAGGCCCACCACCAGGCTCTGAAGACCTCATCTGCAATGTTGATGAGGTGTTGCTCCAAAGTGACTTGCTGGTTGAGAGTGGAGCTTTTTGCTTGTTTATTATGAGCCCCTGTGAAGCTCTCAGTGGTCACACAGGCCTCCTGTAAACATGCCATTGCCCAGGATGCTGGGGCAGGGAGAAGCCAGCTAGTGTGTTTGTTTTGTCTCATTGGGATTACATATATATA